AAAGGCAACAAACCTCGCCAAGCAAATTTATTAGATGTCATCAAGAGAATACAAAAGTTCAAAACCATTTAGAACAATGAGAACATTTAGAACAATGAGAACTTTTCATATGATCACCACAAGCTCTCTTACTATGACAGAGAAATACAAAGAATTACACTCCCAAAAAGAATTTTTAAAATTAACATGAGTTTTAAGAGTTACTAAATTTTTATCTCCTACATCATAATTTTTGGACACTTCTAGCACTCCATGGGAGGTAATTAGGTAAGTTTTAAAATACATAGATTTCCTACTAATGAACATTTACTGAGGGTTAATCAAAATATACATTAGTGAAAGTGTTTGAAGACAGGCATGATTCACTCGACTTACAATGGAGGTTTCTGCTGAAGATCTTTCCGAGCTAGACTTCAGCCTGAACACCAGGAAGTAAAGAATAATAGCAAAGGAGAGAAGGAAAAAAAATTAAATTAGTTAATAGAACAATTTCTCTCCCCGCCCCACATCATGAAAAGTTATTCGTACGACAAATACGCGTGTCATAGGTTCGCCATCACTGTCATATAGGGAGAGGAACAGGTCTTCTCTGTCACACAGATCAGCTGTGATTTTTTCCCTTCTAAAAACTTGAGTCAACGTTTCCTACCATTAAAGTTTCAGCTTCCAGTTCCTTCATTTTGCTCTCCTCTGATCTGAGAACATTAGCAGCAGGAGCACCTTTACTCTTAAATTTAGTTTAATGTAAGTATTGCAAGCCCTGCTGGCAAGCCTCAAGGCACAAACTCTGAATGGGGGGTGATCAGAGCTGAATGATAAAGTAGAAAAAAGGTATTAACTGCAGATTGGGGAAAATATCCCTCAAGCAATCTATGCTGCAAAGTTTCAGGCCAGAGTTAGGGTGGCAGTTAAAGAGGCTCCCTCCCCACTCTAAACCCCACACCTTACCTTGCCTATGCCTTTTGAAAAAGGGGATTTTTGTTTTTCACAATACGTGGCCACATATTTTGTTTTCCATAATAGATAATGTGTGTACTGAAATTTTGCACACTTAATATTTGAAATGCATTAAATATTTAAAGGGATCCTGTAACAAATTATTTTCTCATTTAAGTAATCACTATCTTTTTTTTATAAATACAGTCTTATTTATGCTGAATTAGAAAATAGTTGTAATCTAGCATATAGACGCAGCCAGAGGGAAAATAAGTGAGAAAAAATGCAAGCATGCTTTGGGGCCTGTTATTTCAGGCTTACTTTTTACCTGCAGAGTGAAGAAAGCTTTTTGCTGTTTGTTAAATTGAGCTGTATCATTTTCCTGGTATGACCAGTATCCCCAGCTCCTAGGTGATCTCTAATCATGAGGAATTAAACTACCCGAGCCTGAAGCAGAAATGGAACACATCCTTAACCATGGCACTTCATCGGGGTCCTCCTAGCTCAAGACCACAGAGGAAATCACACAAGATGGGAGCAAAGGCAGGAAGGGCAATGGTTCAGATTCGGGTAAGGGAGAGAAGGAGAAGTATTTTTCCAGCTCAGTGGTTCGCAACCTTGGCTGCACATTAGAATCACCTGGGAATCTTTTTAAAATCCTGATTTCTGGGCCTCATCCTCCAGAAGCTCTGTTTCTTTGTTATGGGGTGGGGCCACAACATTAGTAACAAAGAAACAGAATTTCTGGAAGGTAAGGCCCAGAAATCAGGATTTTAAAAAGATTGGCAGGTGATGCTAATGTGCAGCCAAGGTTGGGAACCACTGCTCTAGCTGGTACCAAAATGAGCTTAGCCCCAGGAGCTGAGGAGGAAGCAGTCTGTGAGGAGGACCCAGAGGCAGCCCCCCCACTCCCTCCCAGTGCCAGCAAGTGAGCCGCGCTGCATGTGGCACCACGGGGGCTGAGACAAAGATCAAAAGGCTGCCTGAAGCCAATTCATGGCTGGTGGATTCTTTGATCTGCTGGTTGGCTCTTGTATCGGTCATATTTAGTCTCTAAATTTGGCCCCCACATGCAAGGACAGATGAGAATGGAGAAACACGGGATGAAAGGTTTGAGAACGCTGGTCAGGCTGAATGTGTCCCACAGTGTGAGTTTAAATCTCTGGCCTCCAAGTAAAATTCTTCAAAGAGTAACCCTGTTGTTGCCCACTCTCCCAGGAGCCTCACCCACCAGGAAATACACAGGGGGGGT